GTGTACTTGTTACCTATATCTGAGCAACCGGAACCAAGAGGTCACTTTATTTCGTATAGTCCGATTGAGGGATGATTTCAGCGGCACTTGAGTGAGTACGATTCTGGCACAGGCCCGAGTAGCGAAATAATGAGATGTTGACCGACGGGTGATTCTTGCATTCGCACATGCTTTGTATAGGAAAGCGGGAAACCTTGTATAATTGTCGAAAGTGGACGCCGTTGAGAGTGTCAGGTCGGTTTCAAAACGAGACTTCACCTGGTTCGATGTTGATGTTCCAACACGGGGGCAAAGGCTATCGTGAGTTTCATTCCCCTTTCATGCAAGATCAGCGTGCTCGGAGTTCTCTTACGGTTGGTGCATGAATGATTCTGAGAAAGACGTAGCGTGCATGGAGAGCCCGTGGTCGGTATTTGGTGCATGGACGCTTTGGCTGGCTTGACTTCACATTGTAGACGCTCCGGTCTGTCGGCTGACTACGGTACCTACTAAACATCCGTCCGTACCGGTCCAACCGACGCAGACACCTTCCATGGCCATAAAGTAAGCAGTCCGATATAGTGGCATGTAGGTGCAAGAGGAGAATATGCCACTTTTCAGGGCGTTGCCACTATTCGATGCATGGGGTTCATGTGAATTTTGAGATTGTGACAGGAGATTTTGATGCCACTGCTGTATCGGCAGTTTCATTATTTCAATACAGCGGTTGCCACCATGTCGGGCGGTTTCCTCCTGTACGTGTTTCCTCTTTTGGTACGTTTTTTTTCAGGTATAACCCCCTGGGGGTTTTGTTCCCTCATTTCCGCAAGGAAGGGATGGACTTTTTCAAGGAGAGGTTCACCTACGACCCAGACAAGAGATTTTCGGCGAGGTACGTGGAGGGAGGGGGGGGGGGGGGCGGGGGGCGTACTCATTTGTTGCTTGCCATAGTCATTTGACCATTGACCACGCGTCCCTTTCGAGACGGAGCACCGTTCCTACACCTACTCGAGACACCACCAACATTTCGGAGCTCTTTGCGTTTCTGCCACAAACTCCATAAAAATTCCTTGCACATCTTATCCCCGTCCTCTAGGGCCTCTTATGCCCACCATCTATCCCCAATTATCGCGATCGTTTTTTCGCTGTTGTCTAATTTACCAAACTTGTCCATGTCACACCCTCTCTGTCTCATTTCCTCCTCGAGATCCTCTCTTTCCTTCCTGTACAACTCACACTCCCCAACTATGTGGGGTCTACTCTCCTCCGATTTGCCACATGGACATGTGTGTCTATCCTCCTCTTCCTCTCTCCTACGGCTGGTATACCTCTTCCTCCGTTCTGGCAAGTCCAGATCGCCTACTCGAAATTGCAATTTCAGCTTTTTCGCATAGTCCATGGGGCCGTCCAAGTACGTCTTCATCCCTATCCCTTCTTTCAACTTCCCGTATATCTCCAAATGGTCTTCGCTTCGTACCTTCTTCCGAAGGGTTGCCTCCTCCCTACTCTCTAGCATCTCCTTGACTTTCGTCTTGAACCCCCCGAACCCTTCCGTGTCCAACGTCTCCTCGTCTCCTATCTCCTTCCAAACCTTCTCTACCACCTTGTCCCATCTGATTCCCTTCTTCCCTGGAGTCGCTTTTCCCCAAGCTGCGTTGTCAACCATGGCTGGTAGTCTATCGTCCGACATTCTACTTACGTGGAGGGAGGGGGGGGGGGGCATGCCGTCGGTTGTTCCTGTCTGCCGTCCACATTACTGCTGTATGCCGCGCCGCAGTGCAGGTTTGTCGAACGTTGGGTAAAAACCCAATATTCTTTTTTTGTTGTGTTTGAGCCCCATGTTCCACCCGTTTGTGTCGGGTGTCATTTATGTCATGGAAACGATTTTCCTCCTCACGTGTCATGACTTGGAGCCTCTATCTTCAGTGTCCCGGGTTGACAGCTATCACCAGGCCTTCCGCGTCATGACATACCTCCTCGTCACTTCCTATGTATCGTGTTTTACCCCACGATAACCCTGTTTGGGTGTAGCCGGGATGCCAAATCAACCTATTGACACATACTGGTTTGGCAAAGCAAACACAAGGATGGTGACAAGATTCTTCTGGCCCATCGTTGAAGTCTAGGCGGGCGAAAACTCGGCGTGTCGTTCACGTGAGTCAACCCCGTGTTCGTCGGGTGCATGCATCTCTCTCTCTATCTATCTATCTCTCTTGCCCATGTTGCCCTCCCCTCTCCTCCATCTCCCTCCCTCGCGCTTCTTGGTGCAGACAAGCACTGCGGCACCAGTACTTCTTGAACAAGCCCCTGCCGAAGAGCAAGGACGTCATGCCCACCTTCCCCACGAGACACGGACCGGTGAGACGGATCACTTACAGCCACAGTCGTCGGAGTGGACCCTCCGTAGTGCACGCTGCAGTAGTGCCGGGGAAATCGGATGTCATACAACTCTGGGCAGGGGGAGCGGTTTGTTGGGGTCAGTGAAAATTTATCGGCACATCAGGGAAGGGCGTATCCGCTACGACCAACGCTCAAGATCGTTTGAATTGTTCGAGGACAGCAAAAGATTTGTAGCAACCCGGGGGGCAGCGAGCCTCTCATCTGCGTCTCCCCCGGTTTTCCCACGACAGACCCGGTATGGATAGATAACAAAAAACTAACCTAAATAGCTATCCGGCGTATGCGCGAGAGTTCAACTAGAGTTAGGGAGGGAGAAAGAGAGAAAGAGACTTCACGGGTGGGATGGGTATGAACAGCGCGTGGTGTTTCTCCGTACTTGTCCCCGTAGGCAAATATCCCCCGACCGTGGTGCTCTGATAACGTGCCGGTTCATGTTGTAGAAGTGGGGGGGGGGGGGGCGACTACAGAGGGGGTTTAGAGTCCTGGCATCGATGGCTGCATGGACCGGCCGACCGCCCTCTCCGGTGACATTCTGACCACCAACGACCCTTGCCTGCAACAACACTAACACACGCGACAAACCAACTGCATTGCAGGAGCCGGCAAAACTAAAGATGTCATCCAAGGGGCAGCAGGCCTCGTCCTCCTCTTCTTGGGTAATGGGCGCGAGTAAGAGCAAAAGCAGCAGCAACAGCGCTAGCGGGAGCGGGAGAAGAGGAGGCGGCTTGCTTCCGACGGCGGGTGGAGAGGGACGGCCGGCCGCGGTAGCCACGCGTACCTCCGCCAGCTCTTCTTCGGCTGCTGGTGCTGCCGCTGCCGCTGCTTCCGGCAGCAGCGGAGGCGCTAACGTCGGCAGCAGCAGCGCTACCGCCGCCGGGGGGGCACGAAGAGAAGACGCGGAAGAGTTGCGGGAGGGTGATGGCGAAGGGACTAGCAGTAGCAGAAGAGCTGTGGGGGGAGGGGGCAGCGAGGGTTCGGTTCCCCTGAAGAAGCCGAGAAGATAGCAACAAACGAAATTAGAAAAATGAAATCAAACAACAAAATAGCGTGTGTTGGACGGACGGGCTTTTCCCCGCTGTTGTTGCCGCCAATCTTCTCTCCCCTTCCCCTTCGCATCCTTCCAAGAGGCCTACAACAGTACCTCCTCCACGTTATGCCAATCAACCCCTGTTTCGCATCATCTGATCACCTGGCCACCCCTACGGCCGGCAGCAACCGTGCCGTCATTGATGACTTTCATCATCCATTCCTCCCTACGTTACACTCACGGGATGCGATCTGCGACACCCCCTTGTTTGTTCAATCACGGCGTAAAACGAGCCTCGTGATACTTACGGCGGCACGCTTCTAAAACGTGCGATAGTCCAGAAAGGAAAAGCAAGCAACGGGACCTACAACAACAAGCTACACTACACTGCCGCGCCCAAGAGGCGTTGTAGCTACACGACACACGGGTGACATTTATCTTACGGTATATTGTATGTTACAACCGGGGCTCCGCAGTGTCAACCACACCAACTACCCCTCCGTCGAGAGGTCAGGGTAACTCGTCGACGGGTGCCAGATGAATCTGCATGAGAATCGTCCTCTACACGATTGTGTGTGTGTCCTCAACTCGCCCAAGCGTAGGCACGAGCACGTCGAAGCTTTCACAAGCCCCCCCCCCCCTCGGAGGTCAATGGTCTAACGACTACGGCATGCCCGACTATGAGCACACACACACACAATCGATGGGCTATGTATAGGGCCTACGCTATCTTGGACACGATGGGGAAGTCGTGGGAGGTGCACTTGCAGTCGCAGCCCCGGACCCCGCAAGTGTCGTGCTCGGCGAACCAATCTTCGAGGTGCCCGTTGTGCCCACCGTGGTTGCACCTGAGCCCATCAAAACCCGCGGTTGTTTTGTTCGCATAAATTTTCGCGTAAAACCACAGGCGCATTCATTCAGAGGGGCACGTGAGAAACGCACGCAGAAAAACGAACGTACATGTCAGAGGGACGGTGAGAAAGCGATAAGGTATGCCACAAGTTGTTCGGGAAAGCGAGCGCGAAGGAAACACATCTCCGTGCAACACACTTTTACCGTACGTGACGCAAGACACCACCCCCCTTTGAACCGACTTTCAAAGCTATATATTTCTCCAAAGCAGCAGAAAAGAGTGGCGGTTGCTAAAAAAATGGCTGTGGAACCGTCTCTTTGAGAGCGCTTCCCGCAAGCGTTATCGTTCCAATATATGGTACACATCATCTTCATCGTGGAGTGATCGAGCTGTGAAAATCGGTCCGGAGGGGGGGGGGTGTGGTATCTTGCGTCACCTAACACAAAAGTGCGACGACAGCGGACAGAGTGATATGATGCCCTCGTGCGCAGCAATCCCAACATGCACGGGACCGATCCACCTCTGCCTGTAGTAAGTTTTTGACACCGAACTTAACTTGTTGCGGGGTACTTAGCGAGTGACATCAACGTTGCTTGCAGCCGGCGCGTACAGCGCGTCGCGTGCACACGCAAAACAAGCACTGCTGCAAGCCATACGGTTCGAAGTGGCGTGTTTTTCAACAACAGGAGCAAAGGGGCTGTCGCCTGCCTTGGCTCCCGCCAAAAAAACAAGCCAAAAAAGTTGTGCAACTCCCACCCATGATGAATCACCAACCAATAAAAAAGGTGCTACACACAGAAGAAGCGCGGCAACTTACACGTTGCACCAGCTCCACCATATATCCAACGCGGCTTGCGGAGCCCCCTGTTGGCCAAGCGCAGCAGCAGCAGCACCCCCCCGCGCGTTACCTCGCCCCCCCCCACCGGATGCTTCGTACCCCCCGCTGCCCACGCCGAGCCCCCCCCTGAAGTTGGTCCTCGCACTCGCAGGCCCCCCCTTGAGCTGGCTGAACTGTCGTCGTCTGGCCTCCGTTTCTGGATTGAGGGTCCCGATCTGCTGCAGGCAGATGAAGCACCTCGGGAGGGGCTTCGTGTGGCAGCGGGGTATGGGGGGCGGGGCGGGGCAGGGGCGTACGCAAGTGTTGCATGCCTTGCTGTAGTTGTTAGATCGATGACCGAGCGTCCTCCGGAGGACGGACCAGAATTTGTGCGTGTTCGTTCGGCGTTTTTGGTCTCGCTTTGAGTGTGTGTACGGTCCGGGTCTCGGTTAACAGCGACCCCCTGCTTAGCGCCATACCCTGTTCAGCGACCACAAGATCACGTGGCACCGCCGCACCCCGGCAGAACAACTGCTATGCAACATAATCGGTGGTTCGGTTCAGCGGCCTGCCCTGAATAGCGGCCACATTTCGTCGTGACACTGGGGGTCGCTAAACCCGGGCTCCCACTGTATCTTGACGTACGAGTTGGTAATGACTCTTCGTTGCTGCTGCAGGCAGATGATGCACCTCGGGGGGGGGGGGGGCTTCCCGTAACCCCGGGGATGGAGGGGGGGGGAAGAAAAATGGCCATCCCCCTTTGTTTTCCCGGAAACATCCCCTATCTTACTGTACCCCAAAATTAAACTTCAAAAAAGCCCAAAAAAAACGACATCTAACCACCTACTCCAAACCGTACTTTTTACTCCTATATTTATTTGGGAAATCCCAGCCAAACTC